AACTTGCATGAGGATATAAAGACACAGATCTAAAGGGAAAAATCCGTTGTGAAACTTATAAATGAAAATAACTTATGTCCACTAAATAAAGGAGCACATATATATATATATATATATATATATATATATATATATATATATATATATATAAAAATGCTTTTTGGGAGACTATTCAGCCATTGATCTGAATATATGTGACCCAACAGAAGATATGGACTTTTCTTGGGATGTAAAAGATGACACATGGAACTGACCAATTCTTAATCCTCCTAGAAAAACATTGAACCAATTAGTGAAAATATATCTTGCTGGAAAATGAACAAAGCAAATTGGGACAAATTCAAAACAACAATCTCTGACCGAGAAAACTACAGACGTATTTCACTGACCAGCTTCCTGCTGTGTAAAACAATGGAACAGATGATAAATGACAGATTGATCTGATACTTGGAGTCGAATAAACTAATTACTGACCTACAAAGTGGTTTCAGAAAGAAAAGTAGCATATTGGACCACTTAATCCATTTAGAAATGACTACAAGAGAAAACATGGAAATATGGCATCATCTGAATGTACTTGGCCTGTATTCATAAATGGTTTTATTAGTAACAAAAAGTTCAAAGTCTGGTTTGGAGCAACTCTCTCTGATCTAAAAAAGACAAGAGGAGGGAGTGCCCCAAGGCAGTATTTTATCAGTAACACTGTTCAGTATAAAAATAAATAACATAGTAAAAAACTTAACCTCTGGAGTAGAAGGACTTTTGTTTGTAGATGACTTCCTCATTTTTTTAAAAAATCCATGCGTATGCACACCATAGAAAGATAATTACAGCAGTGTCTTAATAAAGTTAACCAATGGGCAAATGAAAATGGCTTTAGATTTTCTAAAGCAAAAACTAAATGTCTGCACTTCTATCAGAAGAGAAAACTATGCAATGATCCGACTCCAAGACTAGAAGAAACAGAAATATCAATTGTAGATCAGCATAAGTTCTTGGGAATGATATTTGATAAAAAGCCTACTTTTATCCCCCATCTGAAATATTTAAAAAAAAGATGTAACAAAGCAATATAACTCCTTCATGTGGTGACCCACACTGAATGGGAAGCATACCAACAAAGTTTACAATGACTTTACAGGTTTCTAATTCAATCAAAACTAGACTATGGCAGCATCATATACAGATTGTCAAGAAAATCTTATTAAATACAACAGGATGTGCAGCAATATTCTGGAAGAAAATAAGTGGAAAACACCTCCCAGGTGAAACCTCCATCTTCAGTGAAGAAGCCTGTGTCATAGATTTGTGATGGAGGCAGAAATAGGTAACCTGAAAGACAAAACCTTGTTGTTGTTATTATTGTGGATGTTAATTCCTTCTCTACCTGGGCAAATGTAAATTCAAGTAAAAAGAATACATTTAGTATAGGTAAATAAATGTACAATTAATTTACATACATACATAAAAAACTAGTAACTTTTAACTGTTGCTTTTGCTAAGGCAACTCAGAGAGAGAATAGTGAAATTAGAAGTGAAATATAAATTGTTGATGGCTTTTGTTGTCAGTGGTGTTTCTCTTTCAGCACGTCAGTGTTAACGTGAAGGCTGGTTTGTGTTGCATCTCTTAGCTTGCCAGTGTTGACATTGAAGCCTGGTCTCTCTTGAGTTTATTTGAATTAGAGAATATATACCTGTCATGTGACTCTGAATTAAAGTTTGGGTTTTTGGAGTGTTGTTCATGATGACGGTCGTCTTTGAGTATAGAATCCAGAGGTTAGCAGTGAATATTTCGAAGACAGTAGGGAAGCGTAGTTCAGGTTAGCAGTGGATATCCCGCTAAAGTAGCAGAGCGTAGTTCAGTAGTTCTTCCTTCTGTTCTTTTCACCTGACAAGTTGGCACTGGACATTCGGAGAGAGTAAACAAATTGGCGCCTTTTATACACGACGGATTGAATATTTTACGTCTTCTGATTGGTTAACCTTCTATTGGTGGACTATAAAGTGAGTCAACTCATTTTGACTTGCTCACTAGTACATACATATACACAAAAAACTGCAACATGGAGGAGAGTGGCTTTAACTGGTCAATAAATTGTTCATTTTATTTTGACTAAAGTGGATATATGTGTGGAACCTGTGTGCAGAAAACATATTTACACAGTCTGCTTTGGGTCTTCGAGCAGTCAACATCTGGTTTGGGCAGAAAAATGTCAGGGGCATGACAGATCTAGTGCTCAGCATCATTTAAAAAAAAAAAACAAAAAAAAACAATAAATTTATAATTTTTTCTAATTCAGTATCAATTTTAACAATGCTAAAAACCAAAAAACGCAACAATCCATGCTAAATAATGTCCATTTAATATCTGAGTTGATAGATGTTGTGATGTGTTGGATTCCAAGTGATGTTGGAATAGTTGGAAATAACAAGGCTGATTTAGCTACTAAATGTTTCAAAAATTAAAAAAATTGACCTGAACTTTAAGATCCCTTACACAGACCTGAAGAGTCAAATAAACTGGTTTATTAAACAAAAATGGCAACAATGTTGGAGTAATAGTGCTCTAAATAAATTGCAAGCCAATACTTGGAGAACGGAAACCAGGATACCAAAAAAACCCCAAATGAAGAGGTAATATTGGCCCGTTTGCACAGTGGCCACACGAGGATTACCCACTTGTACTTACTGAAAGGGGAAGAACAGCCAATATGTTTATTGTGCTCAACTGCAGGCACTATAAAACCTGTTTTTACTGAGGGCACAGCTGTTGCTCCCTCTAGAAAAACATACTTCAATATAAACAACATAAAGGAGATCTTTGAAAGCAAGGATGGATGATATAATACCATTTCTCAAAAGAGTGGGTTTATACCCCAAAATATGAACCTAACAGTTAAGAAAACTGACATCTAAACCAACCAAAGTAGTTGACGCCATATGATTTTGTTAAAAAAATAAGTCAGTTCCCAAGTAGGCATCTCTGCAGACAACATTACTATTTACTCCTGTCTCAATAGTAAATCTGTCATTGCTGACAAAGTTAACCTGGCTGTTGGTCTCGAAAAGGACCTCCAATCTGTGGTTGACTGAGGGAGAAAATGGCTTGTAAACTTTAAAGCCTCCAAAAGGAAATTGTTCTCATTTACCCACCGCAGTGAACCCTCCCTGCCTCCTATCAGCATGGCTGATGTCCAACTCCACGAGAGCGTCTCTCTGCACTTTTTTGGTCTCATGTTTTCCACTGACCTGACGTGGAACAACTACATTGAATCAAAAGCTTCATCTGCCTCAAAGAAAGTTGGTTCTCCAGGTCGCGCCAGAACCTTTTTCTCTCCTGAATCCATCCTTCAAATCTACAAATCTACCATTTATCTTTTCCATTGAATACTGTTGTCATATATCGTCTGGTGCACCCTCCTCCCCTGCTGTTCATTTTGAGGTTCTCGACAAAATCCAGACACGGATATGCAACATGATAGTTCCTGATTTGGTATCTCGTCTACAGTTATTTTCTAGCAGATGTGATGTGGCTTCCCTCTGTCTTTTCTACAAATATTTTCATGGCAACTGCTCTGACGAGCTTTACTCTTGCTCTCACTCTCTGTAACTCCTTATGTGCTAGTGGCACTCTCACCTTGATTGGGGTGAAATGGTTAAAAAAAAAAAAATAAAAAAATAAATCCATATTTAAAACCAAATGAAAAAAAAATAATCTGAAACCTTATGATTACATGAATATAAAATAAATTGTTGATACCATATGACTGAGAAAAAAAAATACAATTTAAATTTTATACAATTTAAGATTGTCGCAGTTTTAAATGACCCATGAGGAGTTAATAAGCCGTAAAACAAAACCACCACACAACCAACCGCTGTTGACTAAAAAAGGGCGCTACTATTTATTGTGTGAGATAACTGGTTGCCTACCTATATACCTACCTAATCAATTTTGCTGTATTAAAAGTTGACAAAATGCCTAATAATATGAACATGTAGGTGTATCTCTCACTTATATCATTTCAGTCAATTACGTGCCATGTGTGATACATGCTTAGGCGATCATGTATCTTTTGATACATGACTGACGAGGCAGATTTTTTCCTGCAGTAGGTTGCCATTTCTTTCTGTGGTAGACCAGTTGCCATCCAAGGCTATAGAACCCAGTCTGTCCTGCTATTTACCCATAGCTGGGGGGAGAGAAGAAGAGGATTCATACCTTTCCCAAGGGGATTAGCACATAATTGATTATAATAGATTTGAGTAGAATTTGAACTTGACTCTCTGATTTCTCAATCGAAGCTGCTATCCTTTACTCTACCGTGCTCCTTCCTTATATCATTCACAATGCTTAATTCAGTCTCCTATAATGCTACAAATATAGGGTGCATAGTGTGACTACAATTCATTACAATAGTAATTGTTTGTTAAATTTAGTGAGGTACTTGTGTCTAAAATGTATGGATTTATATAAATTTAGTGAGGTACTTGTGTCTAAAATGTATGGATTTATATAAATTTAGTGAGGTACTTGTGTCTAAAATGTATGGATTTATATAAATTTAGTGAGGTACTTGTGTCTAAAATGTATGGATTTATATAAATTTAGTGAGGTACTTGTGTCTAAAATGTATGGATTTATATAAATTTAGTGAGGTACTTGTGTCTAAAATGTATGGATTTATATAAATTTAGTGAGGTACTTGTGTCTAAAATGTATGGATTTATATAAATTTAGTGAGGTACTTGTGTCTAAAATGTATGGATTTATATAAATTTAGTGAGGTACTTGTGTCTAAAATGTATGGATTTATATAAATTTAGTGAGGTACTTGTGTCTAAAATGTATGGATTTATATAAATTTAGTGAGGTACTTGTGTCTAAAATGTATGGATTTATGCAAATGTGTAAATGTGCACAGCTAGACAGTTTGCATTCTTGTTTTCTTGTGTATTTTGTGTGAGATAAATTATAACTTTTTTCTGTATTTTCCAAGGCTTTAAAAGATGCCCTTTGCAAAAAGTTGTCTCTTGAGACGAAACATGCTGAAGAAATGCAAAATCTAAAGTCTTTGATGGAGGAAAAAGAAAAGAAATGGTCGGAAGAAATGAAGAAATTAAAATCAGCCCACAAAAAGGAAATGGAGGAACTACGACTGAACACAGAACATCAATTTCACACACAGAAGCAGGTTGGCTTTCCTTATTAACTTTTTTAAGAATTCAAAAATTTTTTTTACTTTCAAGACAGCATGTATTTGTGGACAGGGAATTCTGTATGTCTTTGTGAAATTGTAATGAGAAATCTTGTTCTATTGTCATTTTGGTTTTATAATTTCAAAGAGCTGATGAAATCAGTTTTTCCATTTTATGATTGAGACTCTGCAGGTTTGTGGTTGCAGAGTCATTCCTTTTGCAAATTCAAAAGCACATTCTAGAAAAGTTAGAATCATAAAAACAGGCTGACCAAGCTTCTTTGTTTTTTGGCCTTTAGGTTTTTGGGAGATTTTCCTTTTAGTGACCAATGTTGACCTTTGAAAAAATTGTGTATTATCACCCTTCAATGTAGATGAATGTATAACTGAAGTCATCCATAATTTATTAAGTTTGCAAAAATTGGTTTTCAACTGTGTCTTGTGAATGAACTAGTCCAACATGGCACTTCCTTAAAGATGATTCAGTCTTGTGAATGGATAGGTTCAAAATGACAATTCCTGGCTTCAGCATTTGGAGTGATTTCTCTTTTCAAATAGACTTTTTGGTATATAGATTCTCACTTTTTGGGGGCTTTAAAAGTAATATTGCACTCCTCCATTTTTGAGGAGCAATTAAATCTTTTAGTTTGTTTTAGAAATTATATTTTATTCTTAAAGAAAATAGTTGAACTATAAAACAAATTGTGTTACAAATTTTAATCTGAAAAAGACCAAAAGATTTTATTCTTTTAGAAAAAAAATTGCATATTGCTGTCTTTTTTTCTATAGGGATTAGAACCTTTTAGAAGAATCTTTAAAAACAGAAAAAAAAGAATTTAATGGTAGATAATTCATGATAACTTTTGGCCAAACTGTATGTGATGGGGTATGGGTTGGGTGTATGAAAAGTCAACCAAGAAGCCCTTATAAGAAAAAAAAAATGTAAAAAATCTACTTTGGTCATTTGGCCAGATTTTGTGATTCAGATTGGCCTTAAAGTTTTTCAGCATCCGCTTGTATTTCATTATAAAATATGCCTTAAAAGAGAAATGCTTGTTCCTTTTGTAGGAGATGGAAAAAGAAATGAAACACTTGAAGCAAGGCAACAAAGTGATTGCTGATGAATATGAGAAGGTTGGTCAGGAGCTGAAGAACAAGTTAACTGAAGCAGAGAAAGAGGTGAGAATTAATCTGATAGAAATTTGGTTCTCAGACAAACATTTGAAAAATCAAGAACCTAAAATAGAATTTTGTCATGAATATGATCTTGAGATCTTAGTGTTACTATTGATGAAAAAACTGGAAAACTTTGCATATCATTTATGATCGAGAGATATGAGTTAGCATTGATGACTTTGAGATCTAATCATTAGCATTGATGATCTGTATATCTAATCATTAGCATTGATGAGTTTGATATCTAATCATTAGCATTGATGAGTTTGATATCTAATCATTAGCATTGATGAGTTTGATATCTAAGCATTAGCATTGATGAGTTTGATATCTAAGCATTAGCATTGATGAGTTTGATATCTAAGCATTAGCATTGATGAGTTTGATATCTAAGCATTAGCATTGATGATTTGGATATCTAAGCATTAGAATTGATGATTTGGATATTTAAAGATTAAAATTGATGATCTGGATATTTAAGTGTTAGCATGGATGACTTGGATATCAAAGTGTTATCATTGATCAGTTGGATATTGAATCATTAGCATTGATGATCTGTATATTTAAGTAGCAGCAATGATGTAGATATCCAAGTATTTGCATTGATGTGTTTGATATCTAATTGTTAGGATTGATGATCTGGATATCTATGTGTTAGCATTGATGACTTGGATATCGAAACGTTAGCATTGATGAGTTGGATATCAAAGTATTAGCATTGATAGTCTGGATATCTGTGTTTTTGTATTGATTATCTGGAGACCTTTGCATTACAATTGATGATCTGGAGACCTAAGTCTTAAAATTGATGACCTGGAGACCTAGGCATTATCATTGATGATCTGGCGATCTAGGTGTTAATATTTATGATCTGGAGACCTAAGTATTAGCATTTATGATCTGGAGTTCTCAATGTTAGCACTGATGAGCCCATGTGCATTCACTGTTAAATGACTGCATATAAAATGTTAATGATGATTTAAAAACACAAGCATAGAAATGTAAATATGGCAGAATAAAGGAAGAAATGGGGAGTGACAAGTCAAGGAGAAGATTGATAGATAGAGACAAAGAGGATATGAACCGAATAGTGACTTTGTTAAAAAAACAATAAGTAACTGTAACTAATTTATATAAGATGACCAATGTGTAGCTTCACTCAGCACAGTACACATCCTGTATAAGCAGCCACACGCACAAAACACAAGACCGTAGCTGGAAACAGGATCTCACACTACCATGGAAAAAATGATTACCACAAGAGGACTATGAAGTAAGGTGTGCAGAAAGGGCAAATAAGGTCAACCATTTTCAGAAAAAAATGCCAAATGAGGAGTTAACATTATTTACACTACTTTCTTCAGTAACAGGATATTCCGAACAGAACCCTTTATTTAATCTACAGCAGTAGACTGTTCTCATTCAGTTAGGGATATCTCTTCTAGTTCTTATTTCATTTATTACTGTTCAGTTATTGCCCACCTGTAAAAACTGCCAGAGATTGAACTGACAACCACTATGTCACCAAATTCGTTTTTACCTATCTAAGCCATTGTCCCATGATGGAGTAAACTTAGAGCCTTAAATCTAACTTTGGATGCTGATTAGGTTGCAACTGCTGCTGCTGGCTGTTGAAGATTTTCTGTTGTTTTCCATTCTTTCTTTACTAGCAGCTTCCATATTGTATGTATTTCTATGCTAGGCCTACTAAGGAGATCTTCACAGCCTAGAATATGAGCTGATTCTTTCAGTCATCTGACTCTCCAGTGTCCTTTCCTGTCCAGTATTTTCACTTCATTCCACAGGGGCTGATGACCACCCCTTTACATCCGTACATGATCAGCCATACCCAATTTCATAAATAAAGTATATTATGTGAACGAGACCATGTTGATGAGGATAGAGTCATCTTGTTTGTAGCTGACAACATGGCATAAACCTGTGGACCACATATAAAAGAATCAAAGTGGATAGTAGATATATATATAGCTAGATGGCAACTAAGACTGGATGAAGAAAGTTCTATGTTATGCACTTACCTCACGCCATTTGTATAAATACTTCAGACTACTCTTTGCACCAGAAATAAGGAACATGTTTGAATTCATGAAGAATGTCATAACGTCAATGGACAATGTTGTAATGTGGGGATCAGAGACAAATATTGAAAAAGGGGCTGAAAATTTCCAACAATGTGTCATTGAACAAAGAAAAACACTGAATTGCTGGACTCAAACTAGAATTCCTGGTGATCAACTCACAATGAATGGATTATAACTAGATCCCAGCCAAAGTAAAATCTGTTAATGAATTTCTAATACCCAGAGATCACTATTTACATTATTCGGACTATTGTCCTCATCTTTGTCGCCATATTTATTACAACGTTTTGGCCGTTATATGCTTCAGCCTTCTTCAGTATCTGTCTATATTTCTGAAATGAGGTATTATGCACACTATTTACATCATTCAGACTATTGTCCTCATCTTTGTCGCCATATTTATTACAATGTTTTGGCCGTTGTACACTCCAGCTTTCTTCAGTATCTGTCTATATTTCTGAGATGAGGTATTATGTACACTATTTACATTATTCGGACTGTTGTTCTCATCTTTGTCGCTATATTTTTTTACAACGTTTCGGCCCTTCAGTATCTGTCTATATTTCAGAGATGAGGTATTATGTACATTATTTACATTATTTGGACTATTGTCCTCATTTTTGTCGCCATATTTATTACAATGTTTTGGCCCTTCAGTATCTGTCTATATTTGTGAGATGAGGTATTATGTACACTAGTTACATTATTCGGACTGTTATCCTCATCTTAGTCGCCATATTTATTACAACGTTTTGGCCGTTGTACGCTCCAGCCTTCTTCAGGTGGTTGGAATGTCGAACTGAACCCTTAATTTCGCTCACTGGGGTAGGCTGTAATAAATATGGCGACAAAGATGAGGACAATAGTCCGAATAATGTAAATAGTGTACATAATACCTCATCTCACAAATATAGACAGATACCCAAAGATCAATCAGATATTGTTGATGGTTAACTACATAGCAAGATACACGGACAATCTTTCTTAGTGGGCCTATCACATTGGTAGCCTGTGAAAACTAAACAGAACATTTCACTATGGGTCCAGAATATGAGCATGAATGTCAAGAATTGGAAAAATCATAATTGTCACAGGCCATCCTATGATTTTGGAGGCACAGTGGAGTGATGGATATCAGCTCGGATTGAGGAATCGGAGAGCTGAGTTCGAATTCCACTCAAATCCATTACATTCACTTACGTGGTAATACCCTTGGGAATGGTGTGAATCTTCTTCTTCTCCCCCCAGTTATGGGTAAATAGCAGGACAGACTGGGTTCTATAGCCTTGGATGGCAACTGGTCTAGGAAAAGGACAACTCTGAATTCAAAACCAGGTTAGGGCTTGGGCAGTAGGCTAACAATCTACTCATTTAAAAACTGGTTTGTTACAGAAACTGCAATGATATGTTGCGGCTTTATGTTTCCCAAGGAATTTAAAGGCATAATATATATACTATGATTTTACAACCCCTACCTGCCCATCAAAATATCATGCAATGCAAATAGAAAAGGATTGGATATGATACTAGGAGAAAAACAACAACAAAGTGGTGATCAATGGTTACTAGTTTCTTATGTATCGTGTGCAATTGTAGACAAACAAAGTAGGTATGTACTGATTGAATGTGAAGCATTAGTGATAGAGTTTGTATTTGAACACTTTTATCATTACATTCATGTAAAATCTGTGCAGGTAGAAACGAATCATTAACTGCTAGTATTCATATTTCAGAAAGCATTCAAATGAATGCCCAACTTCAACTTCAGCTTATTAAACTTAAGGTACAACTTGCCATTGTCATACATCAGCAAAACAAATGTATATAGTTGATGCACTGTCACATGCAGTCCTGTTGGACACCAAAAAAAAAAAATTAGATTCATTTGGAAGATGATGCAAATCCTGAAAACTCTGTAAGATATAGATGGCTGGTTATCACAGATCAGAAAATTAAGAAAGTTTGAACTGCTACATAAAACATGGAAAAATATATATCTGGCCAACAATTGTCAAGCAATGATAGGCAGAAATCATTCCCTACTACAACTGCAGGACAGAGTCGATAGTTGTGGGTTCTAATCCTCATGGGAGATGACGGTAAAACACTTTACTCTCCCCAATATATAAGCAGATGCACATAAATGCATGCTAAGATCTCTTCCTAGCCAATAAAATAGGCCAGTTCTTAATTTCATATGACTTAGTCCCAGTCCGTCTTGCCTTGAAATCAGAACACTACTTTCGCTTATCCAAATTTGCTCTTGTGTGTCAATCCTAATTCTTAGTTTGTGAACTTTTTGCCTTATTACTGTTATTTTGCCTTATTATTGTTAATTTGCCATATTACTGTTAATTTGCTTTATTACTGTTGCTCTGCTTTATTACTGTTAATTTGCCTTAATACTGTTAATTTGTCATATTACTGTTGCTTTGACTTATCACTGTTAATTTACCTTATTACTGTTGCTTTGCCTTATTACTGTAAATTTACTATATTACTGTTAATTTGTTATATTACTGTTGCTCTGCCTTATTACTGTAAATTTGCCTTTCTTATATTATTTGCTTGCTTTATATTATTATTTTTTCCTTGTTCATGTATTGTTCTTGTAATTGTTTATTGCAAGCTTTATCAAATCTAGTTGTTGAGCAGTTCTGCCATTTATTTACGTTTAGCTATGGCCACTCACTCTACAATGGTATATCATAACGTAATACATAAAGGAATATGCATTGTTATTCCTTCAGATTTAAGAAAACCAATTTTGAAGATACACACAGGTTATCTAAACCAAGAAAAAGTACAAATACTATGCAAGAGCATCTGCATTCTGGAGAGATATTAGCAAAGATATTGATCTTGAATTGTGACATGTATGTCTGAGGTACCGAGATGCACAACCAAAACAGATACACATGAGTCAAAAAGTAGCAGCAGACTTATTCTGGTACCATATTCCTCTAAACATTCTGAATGTTCACTCTAACTACCCAGATGTGTACCAAATACCAACACAATCCAACAGTGCCCAGATCACAGCTATGCAACACAGTTTAAGTCAATTTGCCATGTTTCAAGGAATCTTCACTGATAACGGCCCATGTTTGGCATGTAGTGAATATCAACAATTTGCATATCTGAGTGGCACTTTAAAATCTCAACAGCAGCACTACACTATCTGCGAAAATATACTACGAAAATGTAAGGATCCTTCACTTGGATTTTTTGATTTACTGGAAAACTCCAAGAGATTATGGAGCAAATACTGATGGGGAGAACATTAAGAAGTGATTTAGCCACATGCATGAAATGGAAGAAGAGGAGTTTAACAGTGAAGGCAAAAAAGCCTCTAAGGCCTAAATGAAAAAACTACATTACGGTAGATTTAATTTTCTGATAAACAAGAAGAGACCTGTTGCAAATGCAGGATAGCAACAAAATAGAAGACATTACATGGTTTCCATGAAAACTAAACAAGTACAATAACTGGAAAAACTAAGATGTGTCAGTTGAGTGTAAACCAGTATCTAAACTCCTAGATGAACAGATACCTAACAACTCAGCTGATCAGATTCAACAACACTCTAGCCAGGTTACGATAGGCAGTTTATGGTCGGTTGGTCAGTCGGTCGTAGGGTGAAGCCACTAGACTGATTGGACTTGTGAAGCATATTTGTGGTTAATTTAGTTTGCCATTCATTTGCGATAACTGAAATTGATTAAGGTGCTTGCTTTCAAGCGATTGACCTCGTCCTTCTTCTCTCGTTCTCATTTGTCTGAACAACATCATGCTAACCAAAGTTTTCTATTCATCCTCCTCACAGACTCACTATTTATACCTGCGTGACAAGGGGTAGGGAGCTAATATTTGTATACAAGACTCAATTCTGGTTTGTTCGAGGCTTCCTATTTTATAAATTCAAACTGGTTTGAATTCTTTAATTTTTTCATTCTACATCTGCACGTGAGATAGGAATTTTGGAATAATCCATTTCACTTTTAATGGCAGTTGTGATCTTTCAACAAGACCTGACATGCCAAGCAAATTTGCTTTGCGGGAGGTGAGTCTTCTTGTTCCTCACACTATTAGTGAACAATTTTTTGCATCTTTTGTTTATTTCAGTTCTTGTTTTTGAAATTTATTTGCTAATTTTTTTAATAAAAATCCGAGCCAGAATAGTTTTCTTCTTTCATCTTTACTAATAATGTAATTGGGAAGATGTAATACTGACGTTAATCATGCACAAGTTACTACCCCTTACTCACGAGAGCAAGATTTTCCCTGGGACCAGAAATTTAGCCCTGAGAAACAAGTTTTGAATATAATCTCATACAGCCCATCCATAGGCCTTGCAGAAAATATTACAGCTTTTATGTTCTCTTGTAGCAAAATATTTCAATAAAATCTAATGCTTATCTGTTAATAACACAAACAAATATTTGTTTTGATATTCCCTTCTGAAAAGCATGTAGAAGGTTTTCTTCAGATTTGAGTTGATGAATTATCGAGATGGTTCCAAAAAGTTAATCTAAAATAGACTCATTTGTGTATTATGTTCTTTTTTTTTTTGACACAGCATTTTGTATTTATGGAGAAGCTGAGATTATCCTTGACTTGATTTTTTATCCTCTTTTCAGATCCAAAGATTTGAAAACCTTGTACAACACAGTGAAAAGAATTTAACTAGTGCCTCGTCACATATCATTGCTCTGAAGGAAGCATCTTCGCAGCTGAAGGATGAACTAGATCAGTGCAGAAGTGAACTGAAGACAGCCAAAAACACAAACACACAGTTGCAGGTAGGTGGGCACACCTCTTTCCCTCTCCCTCTGTTATTGATTCCTTTTTAAAATACTCATAACGAATTATAGGGATTAAAATGCATTTACCGAGAAATGGAATATTATTGTTGCTCTAAAAACCTGTTGACCTGACATATTCCTGCAGACATAAAGAGGTGAAAAAAGAAATTGAAAAGAGAGATATTCATCTCGTTAAATAGGAAAATAAAAGAAATGTTATAATGTCCAGATTCTTCCAGTAAGTGAGTCTTCATTCAAGAAGTTCATGCAAATGATAAACAGAAAAGAATTTTTTAAGCCAAAAAAAAAATTAGGGGCCAAGAAAAAGGGAACAATTTTGATTCACTAAAAAAACTCTGGTTCCTCCAGATCAGATTTATTTGAAAAACACGACCCATTTGTGCTAACTGACTTTTCTATCTATTCTGAGTTGTTTTTACTTCATTTTCTACCTCTGTGCTGTATTTGTCAATCAATTCACAATGCAAGTGGAGATAAAGCAATTTTTTTGTAAAGAATTAATTTTATATTGATTCAAACATCCGAGATAATGTCACTTTGGTAAATTCAAATATTGCCATCATGTTTGAATTGAATGTAAACAATTAATCCAACTCGTATTTTCTTATCTACAAAAAACACAAATGTACTGATACTAATAAAGATAAGTATATATATATATATATATATATATATATATATATATATATATATATATATATGTATATATATATATATATATATATATATATATATATATATGTATATATATATATATATATATATATATATATATAATATATATATATATGAATAAAAGAAAGAACAGTAAGATATATAATCTATATATATATATATATATATATTCTTATTGATATTTTTTATTTTTTATTTTCATTTTTTAATTTTATTTTTATGAAATAGTGCTCAATGTAAATTTACAGAGCATTAATATTATAAATTAACTGATTTAAAATATGTTTTTTTTTCCGCTACACAGTAATAACCATGTTTCAAAAATATATATATATATATATATATAATGATATGTTTTACCAGTTTGTAACTGGAAGTGATAATTCCGAGGAGGATATAAATCCAGGGAGAGCTCAATGTAAAAAAACAGAGCATTATAATAATAATAATAATAAGACAGAGACTTTAGCAAAACGGGTAAATAAAATGGATGATTAAAATATCTGTCTTATTATCACTATATATATATATATATATATATATATATATATATATATATACAAATACAGGTTTGGTATAGATGGAATAAAATTCCAGTAACCGAAAACACTTTTTAAAAACAAGCACTCTATACAAAGTAGAGTGAATGACAAGACCCCAGAAATGTTGAAACAAAATGGCTATTTTTGTAGTGATGTTATAACATACTTATGTTATAATTTTTAAATAAATATTATATATATATATATATATATATATATATATATACAAAATGAAAGAAAAGAACAGATGAAGTAAAATTCCACTGTTCATAGCATTTACTTTTAATTTACTTCATCTGAAGTGTGATAATGCAGTGCCGAAACATGAAAGCTATTGTGTAGTGATTTCAACATGGTTTTGCTACAATATATATATATATATATATATATATATATATATATATATATATATATATATATATATATATATATATATGTATATATCAAATATGTGGTGCAGTTCAATTTATATTACAATGAATCATTCATACAAAAGTAGATTAGTAAAGTTAAAATATATATAAAATGGTAAAATCTTTTTGAAAACAAAATTTTGAAGGTGCATTAATCTACCAATCACTTGATGAATATTATGATCCTTGTTTTTTAGAATTATAAGCTGTATAAGGTCTTTCTTTAATACTTGCTACCTGAATTTTACCAAAAACAAAATAGTTTCCATGCCTGAAGATGACTGAATGTACAGTTGAAAGTAGTTGCGTATTAAAGAAAGACCTTATACAGCATGTCAATAAACCCAAACACACACATTTCGACTTTCAACGAATCTACCCTACTGAAAGAAATAAAAATAGGATATACAATATCCAAGGTAGAGTCATACATCCCTAATCTCCATAGATTTGGCCATCTACAAGATCAATGTAGAAGAGTACCAGTCTGTCAAAGATGTGGAGAATTTGAGACTGATCATGAAGAGTCACCCTGTGAAAGGCCCTCCTTTATGCCCAAACTGCAAACAAAACCAGTCAGCAGATTCGAAAGAGTGTAACATCTGGAAAAAGGTAAAGCAAATAATAAGTATAAAATAGACACAAAACACAAGAAGCTAGAAAACAATTTGAAACCAACTCACTTCTGACATCGTGCACAAATACTGCTAAAATAACAAAAAACTACCCGATGTAAAAGCGTTAACATCTGATCTATTTACATCCCATCTCATGACCCTATAAAAGAAACTGATCTAAATAAAATAATAAAACAACTTCCAAAACCATTCATATTATTAGGTGACTTTGTCACAAAGTTATAGGGGGATCTATGAACTCTGACAAAAAGGGGAAAAACCTGGAAACTGTAATTAACAATAATGATTTATGTTTACTAAATGATAAGTCTAATACATATCTTCACCCTGCATCAGGTATGAACTCAGCTATTGACCTCTCACCGTGTGACCTCTCATATTCAGCTATGACCTCTCACCATGTGACCTCTCATATTCAGCTATGACCTCTCACCGTGTGACCCCTCTATTTTTATGGATTACAGTTGGCAAGTACATGATGATTCATGTGTCAGTCATCACTACCCAATTATACTGAGGAGTTCAGAACTGATTGAAAACCATCTCATTTGATGGAAACTAAACAAAGCAGATTAGAGAGAATATAAAAACCAATGCCGTAGCATCACTACAAAAATTTAATATTTCTCTGAAACCTTAATAGTAATTGCAAGAAAATATATACCTAAATCAAATAAATATCAAAGACCATAATTTAAATTACTATTTAATACAAACAACCCATAATTTAAATCTATTCAAACTAAACAGGACAAAAGCATGCAGAACCATCAAAGAAGCTAAAAGAAAATCATGGAGAGATAACATAAATAAAATAAATTCTCATGCCAAATCAAAAATGTCTGGAATATGATAAGGAAAATTGCTGGCAAAAATTTATCACCTCCTCTAAATCACCTTTCTCAAAATAACATAAAAATAACGAGTGAAAAGAATATAGAAAATCTAACTTGCAGAAAACTTTTAAAAAAATTCCTCTAGCAAAAACTATAAACAGCAAAAAATTAAGCAAGATGCAGAAAACAAAAAAAAAAAATTGCTGAACTTTAACTCAAACAACAAAGAAGATTACAATCATCCTTTTACTTTAAATGAACTTATAGATGCCATAAGTGAATCATAGTACAGCTACTGGCCCAGAGGAAATTCATTATGAATTTCTTAAACAACCCCCACTCCCCAAATCTTTGAAATATCTGTTAAACATCTTTAATGAGTTACAGTTTAAGGGTAAACTCCTGATTAACTGGCAACAAACTATTATGATCCTTGTATCAAAATCAGATAAAGACAAATCAGGCCCCAAAAACGTCCGACCTATAACATTAACAAGTTGCATATGCAAAACCCTAGAAAGAATAGTGAATAAAAGGCTGAACTGGTACCTTGAAACTTAATTACCAACCTCCAGAGAGGATTTTGAAACAAAAGAGGCAACCATAGACAACATTGTCCTCCTAGAAACATTAATTAAAGAAACTTTTATCAATAAAGAACACAATAACCATTTTCTTTAATCTAGAAAAGGCCTATGAAACAATATGGAGACATGGAAAAATGAAAGACCTATACAATCTGGGATTAAGGGGTAGATTATCCAATTTGATAAATAACTTGTCAGATAGAACTTTCAAAGTTTGTATCGGCTCAACCCTCTTGGACCTTGAGAAAGAGTTCCACAAGGTTGCATTCTGTCTGTCACTCTTTTCAGCAAAAATTTAACAACATTGTTAATTGCTTAAATCAAGAATTTGATGGTTTATTATATGTAGACAACCTTTTGATCTGCTAGTAATCAAAAAATATGCACACTGCAGAATGACAACTGCAAGTGTGCCTAAATAAATTAAACTGCTGGACTATCAAAAATGGTTTTAAAATTCTCCCTCAACCAAAACAAAGTTTATCCATTTCTGCAATCTGAAAAAAAATGCACAATGATCCAACATTTAGACTTGAAGGAATAGAAAGTGAAATTACTAACCAACATAAATTTCTGGGAATCATTTTTTATAAAAAAGATACTTACATGCCGGATTAAAACTGTCTCTCGGTGCCTTCAAAACAGAAATTATAGAAAGTTTATATGCTGAAATCCATAGGACACTATTAAAATGGAAATGAAAAAAACTGGCACTACAATATTATCTAAAACTCAAATCCTGCCCAACTAACTCTGCCTACCACTATACCTCCAACCCTAAATCTATTTCATATAAAATAAAATGCTGTCAAACCTTTTGGCCTTTACATGGAAAATCTACATATGTTCTATAAGCTTACCCAAATTATATACATATATACATTGATGGCTCTGAAATCATGGGCAGAGTTGGATGCACTGCTGTCCTTAACAACATAACAATGCAGAAACAATTGCCTGACAAAGCCTCAGTCTTCAGTGCTGAAGTCTCAGCCATACATTTCACTTTAGATATTATAAAATCTAGTGGGTCAAATAGATTCATCATCTTTTCAGATTAAATTTCTGTACTCACATCACTGAATAATAAATAAATTACTAAATAAGATTGACACTATAAGAAAAAAGATGCTGTCTGGGACCAATAATGAGAAAGGAAGGCTGGGAAAATCTGATACTCACAAGGCGAATAGAAAGTAAAAAAGGACAAGTGAAGGCAACACGTGACATACATAGTGGGCTTAAGCAAGTGGATGGCAGAACAGGGTGTGAGAGAAGTAGCAAAAAGACAAAACTTATTGAGAACTACAAGGGATAGGGAGAAGTGGAGAGCCAT